TTAATACAAAATTGCTATATCTTCTATTTTTAGCATTTTATATCACGTCAGTTTTTAGCGAAACTAAATATGTACATTCACAGCTAATTTACAAAATATTTATACTAGCATGTTATATTATTATTATTTTTTTTATAATTTCCTAAGCCAATTTTAGATTCTACTTAATAATTTATTTCATTTTATATTTCCATATTCTTTGCATGATTGCACTTTTGTTATTATTCTCTTTGAACCTCACCCTTATTGTCTCGATGTACATATACATATACACACCAATATACCCTCAAAATCCGTTATCACCTGCTGCACTTGTACCGCATACCTATGTACATACTTATACATGTGAATGCACTGCATTTGGCGGCTCAATTGTAGATGCTGGAGACTCGCCTAGAACAGAGAATGGTTTGAGACAATTAAAATGTAAGTGGCATGCCAAATTTTATGACTTATAACTGTATATATTGCTTATTTTAGTTATTACTATATAATATATTTGTGACTGTATGTATAAGTACCTTAAGTCGGCTTTGCTTAATAGTGATAATTCGAACACTTAATAGAGACTTTTTATCTTAAACAATAACCTAGAATATGAAGCATGAAATTACGATTAAATACCGCGAGGGTATGCGTCAATATTTATACCCTGAACAGGGTATATTAAGTTAGTCGCAAAGCATTTATTCAGAAGAAAACGACGGAGACCCTATAGTAATGAATATCTCAATATTGAGATAACGATTGAAAATGGTGCACACACCTTTTCTCCCCATTTATCGGCATCGCCGTTATCGGACCTCTAATGGTATAGCTGCCATACAAACTGACCGATAAAAGTTATGTCCTTGCATGGGAAACTTTTATTTGCAGACATATCTTCTGGAAATGCGGCTTGAATTATTATCCAAGAAAAGATTATAATAAATTGTGTAGATAGGATCACAATAATATGTGGCTGCCACACAAACTGAAGTTAAAAATTTAGTTCTTGCATGGAATTTTCTTTATTTATGAAGTGTACCGTTGTTTGATCTTAGGCCTATTATGTACTCTCCTAAATCACAAAGACTCACTCACACACATTATAATAAAAAAGTACTATGTTCTGCTGGGTGCTAGCGAAGCGATGTGATCCCTGTTTGACAACATGGAGCCAAGGGTCTTTAACTTGCCTTTGCAGACTGCTGCGCAATCAATTAGCAGAGGTCCTGGTGTTTCAGTCTCCCTTTCGCACAACCGGCAATTAACGCAAGAAGCTAAGCCCCTGTTGTGTAAGTGCTTCTTCAGCTTCTTGCAGTGGCCAGTGAAAAAAGCGACCAGTGGTCTGAGTTTATCCCTAGCGAGGTTGATTGCATATTTAAATATATTGAGGGTAGACCTTCATTAGCAACTTGGCTGGACATGCGGCATGTCATTTAGTTGTTGTCAATGTCTCTCCCTACCCACTGCTTCACCATTGTGGAGCTACCCCCATTGAAGGATTCAAGGTTCATGTTAGTGGATGTTGCGAAGTAGTCGAGCTCATCAGCCAGTTCGTTCTCGGCAATACCTTTGTGACCGGTCACCAAGATGAGGTGCAGCTCATTACATTCCGCTAGGCTATTCAGCCCTTCTCTACCCTGTCACTTCTGCACTGATTCCCTCCGACGTTTTCGAGCCGTCAGTGTAGCACTTGATTGTACTAAACTAAGCAATAGATTCACAGTCGAATCATTCCATTCAGCCTTGCTACCAAGGGTAACCTTGAACTTCTTGGCGAAGTTAACCTTTTTGGTAATGCTGTCCCTTGGGAGGATGGTATTTTACTTGGCACTTAACTCTGTCATTCGCTGCTACACCCTTCTGCTGTGGTGTGAGTTCAAGCATGATTTCAAGTGCTGCCATCGAACATGTGCACATGCGAGTCGTGCAACTTCGAAGTCGGAACCCATATATGATTATCGGTCACACGATCATGGTGCACAACCACCAAACGATACTTGTCCTGCAGCCCCAGTATTTTCTGGTCAGTCGATTGCACACCTTTAGTGCAATAATTAATGCCAATAACATCAGGTTAACATTCTGCTTCCACCGCAGAGTGGAATTCAGCGTGAAACCTGCTTTAGGATACTTTAGATATAAGAGCAATATTTCTCATTTAAAATAAAAATTGTAATCTTAAAATATTAATTAATAAACCATAAGTATTTATGTCAAATGTAATAATTTTACTAATTTTATTTCTAAAATTAGCCTCCAGCACCAGCGATTTATCCTTCATGGCTGGCACACAAGTTAAAGAAGTCTCCGGCTTGCCCGATCCAGTGGATCCAAAGGCACCACAACTCTTGGTGAGTGTAAATATGCGAACGAAAGTCTAAAATATCTAAAAAAAAAAAAAAATATTGCTTAATATTATGATATATAGCGTTAATTTCGACCAAGTATATCTCATCAAACTTTACAATTTTCAGACCAATTCCCTACGCAAGTCTAAGCTGAAGCACAATGATCCCGCTTCGCTATATAAGGGTCCTGGTGGCACCGAATTACCTAAAGAAATATTAATGGAGCTGTCTCAGTTCACACGCAAGCGCAGTCATGCCGTCATCGATGTTTGGTGGCTCTACGACGACGGTGGTCTAACACTACTATTGCCGTATATAATCAGCACACGACGCACATGGCAATCGTGCAAATTGAGGTGTGTAATATAATTATACCTATGATTATTTTTGAATATTTTTGAACTTTATTGACTGACTGTATTTTTCAGAGTATACGCTTTGGCAAATAAAAAGGCAGAATTGGAATTCGAACAACGTTCGATGGCTAGTCTATTGTCGAAATTCCGTATCGATTACTCAGACTTGACGCTGATACCCGACATAACCAAGAAGCCGCAAGAAACAACAACAACTTTCTTTAATGAGCTTATCAAGGACTTTGTTGTGAGTAGTGACAAGGATAATGGGCCTTCCAATGTGGCAGCAGATGATGAATGTGAGTAAGGTTTTAAGTTTGTGTTTCGAATTGTTATTTATGTATGTGTTTAATCTGACAATTCGCTTCGTTAAAAAGTTGATATTTATTATTATTAAGTGGAAGACATTAATTCAGTTTTCTAATAAATATTTTTTTCTATTCACCTTTTACAGCAATTATCACCGAAGATGATTTAATGGCAGTACAAGACAAAACCAATCGTTACCTGCGTCTGCGTGAATATTTACACGAACAATCTATGAAATCCGATCTGGTCGTGATGACGTTACCGATGCCGCGCAAGAATATTGTCTCGGCACCGTTATATATGGCGTGGCTGGAGAGTTTGAGTCGTGACATGCCGCCATTCTTATTCGTGCGCGGCAATCAGACAAGCGTTTTAACCTTTTACTCGTAGAAAATTGCACCTGAACGAAATCATGCGCACATACAGACATACATATGCAAATTGTATGTGTGTGTATTGTTTTTTGTATATACATATAGACAAATGTATAAGTACAATGTCACTTTGTAAGTGCTGTGTGCACAAGCAAAAAAAATCAGCATTCATCAATTGTTTTCACTGTTCTTTTATTTAATATATCTTATTTATTTAATTTTATTTTAATATGACCTTTTTAAGCCATTCGCTAATGTAAAAATGAAATTAATTATATTAATTATTATGTACATCGTCGTAAGAATTGTAAAATTTTTCTGAAAACAGAGTAAAACGATATATTAAAGCACGAAACACACAATTATCTTTATATGTATGTGTATGTGTATTTGAAGAACTTTAGTACCTCCTGGACAACAAAGATTTGTATTTCTCTCCTCAAGCACGTGAATGTGAGGAGAGTATTGTGGTTTTAATAGCCTTAATTTTTTTTTCGAGCTGCGTTTACCGTTTTTCAATGGATTGAAATCCGCATCCGTTATGGTTAAGTAGTGCGGACGTATTTATATTTATAATGAAAGCATTCGTACACCAACTTTTCACCCATAACCGTGAATTCGCAATATTTAAATTGCGTACAGTACGTATGAAAATTTCTAGAACATTTCCGAAGCACCCTGTGTCACTTCTCAAGCTGATAATCAATCCAATCATGAGCAAAACAATGACTCAGCATATACACAAACCATTCCATATGTAATATTGCCACTTCATTCGCGCATACATTCCACTTGAAATAGTCGTCCCACTCGTGGTTCCGTTCATTGCCTATAGAGTCGTCACGCAGCACAGTGTTGTATTACGTGGTTATCGCTTAAATAAATTAATTACTAAAGTTTGAAGAAGTATAATTTTTGAAGTGTGCTAGTAATTTAAAAATCACATGCTCAATTGCTTTATTTAATATTAGTTTTTAATTTGGTTGAACGAACTCAAGGGACATATTATATTAAACAAACAAATGGTAGATCTCTGGTTTATGCAATAGGCAACTCTATTGGGAAAGTGGACCCTGTAGTGTGCAGAATAGTGGCAAAATATTTAATCTGCAAGTTTAGTAATAATAATCCGGTTCATATGTAAACTTCAATTTCTTCTATTGTTGGTTGAATATTGCGCGTATGTTTGCGCTAAAGTATTGATAAAAGTGTTATCTATAAAATCGCACATCTGATTCACAAAAATGACAAATCGCATTCGGCATTAATGAGTTGGAAACGTAGCCAAATCTATGGGGAATATTTAGTATCGCGCCGGTTAAATATCGTTTATGGAGAAAAACAGGGTCGGGCTATCCCCACTCCCGACCCCTTATTGGAAAGAGGAAGGATCGAACTTTTTAATAAACCCTCCCTCAACCCCCTAGATCCCCTATGGACCTGTAGGGAGGCCTTTGAAAATGACCAAAAATCAGTGTTTTTGCTCATTTTTCCATACAAACTGAAACCAATGCAACCCAGCCAACATTTTGGTATGGACAAGAAATCAAAATAAAGAAAGCCAAAATGTTTCAGTGCAATGTATATACGTATATAACTGCATCCATCCTTCGGCCGCGCTTGAAAAAATAACCCTGGTCGATCCAACACCGGGGTGTTCAGGGTTCTTCGCGTAGAACTCCTTTCTGTACTGGCGGCCTTCGGCCGCGCTTTAAAAAAATAACCCTGGCCGATCCAACACCGGCTACGCAATCTACAGTTTTTTAGTATTGAACACCTTTTCGCGTTCACTTCATACATTTATTGCTAAGTGGGTTTAATTTATTCCCTTTTGTTCGTGCTTTCTCGGTAATTTGACAGTTCAAATTAGGCAGTCATTTTGGTTTTCCGCATTATTGAACTCAATGCAGAAAAAGGTGTATTTTATTTAAAGATTTACAAAGAAATTAACAATCAAAAGTAATTAAAGACATTACTAGTGGTTTTTATAATTCATAAGTAATATATGTGCGTGAAAATGTATCCATAATTGGTTTGGTTCCATTCAAAACAGATGAAAATACACTAGCATATATTTAGAATTTTGCAAAAAATAGCATTTTTTAAAGTGAATTTGTGGAAAAATTTGTGAACCGATTTTTATAAAATATTATTTAAAACAAAGTTCGATAATTTAAGCATACATGCGTGTTTAAAATTTTTCATTTGGTTTTCTCATTTAGGTACGGTGAGCCAAAATTAACCGGCGCGATACTAAACCCAACCCAAATCTATAAAAGGAGTGCACGGCGCATCGTGTTCAGAAAAGCGGACGCCAAATCAGATTAGCCTAAAGTAATAAGCACAAAGTGAATACTATGTGTAACAAGTTTTTCTTCCAAGTTTATTTGTCAAGCAGCATTAATTGTTATAAAAACCAAAGGGCAGGTGTTTCTGCGTTTCCACTGTCAAGTATTCGACAAGGATCCTTGTATCTGTAAAAAATCTGAACCAGCTTCGATTTGGGAATAGTTACAATTGATACGTGGTATTACTGACTAGTGATCAAAGGTAATGAATTATTTCTACTCCTTGAAGTGTAATGTAACTTTTGTTAAAAATATAAAGTTAAGTCTAATATATTTCTCTCCTATTAGAGTTACTTTCCACATGGAAATGAAACAATGTGTACCACCATAAATAAAAGCCGGTTTATGGCAATTTCATAATATCAGATTGAAAAAAAGTTTACTTAATCCTAAATTTTCTTTAGATCTCAAGTAAAAGTGGTATTTTATTTGTTGCAAAATTATATTATTCTTATACAACAACAGCAATTAACGATTATATATATCATATACGTGCATATGACATTTTGAACGATTGGTCTCCATACCCTGAACGTAGCGTATTTTTTCCCTTTATAAAATATGCACTTAATAAGATTAAAAAGTAAACAAACTATTTAAATATTTGAATACTGGACCACACGAAAATAACTGATCAAACAATGCATATTTATAGCTTGCCATAATTAAAATATCTATATTAAGAAGTTTGAACGTAGGACAATATTCATCGTTGGCGTTCTATATATTCTTCTAACTGATTCCAATTTTATAAATACAAATATTTCTCATTGCCTCTCATTAACGTTGACAATTTAGCGCAATTTTGTGTTTAATAAAACCATGTGGACATTACAATGTTCATATATGTATGTATATATATGTACTATTTTTAAAGATTGATTTGGCCGACATCCGGGGAGTGCGGGCAAACGTGCCAGTGGCGATTGCATGTTGTCGAAAATGTTTCATAAAACTATAAATAAGTCTCGGCAAAGTTTGGAGGACGGATGTTACGTATGCAACAGGAATACATACCTACAAATTGTAAAATCATAAATGCTCATAGCCACATGTATAAAAAACTAATATGTTGCTTGGCACATATGTATCAAGTAAATTGTTGCCTAATTAATTCAAGAATGCGGTGATAAGAAACGTTTGGCCGTCTGAATTTTAGCCTAATAAGCTAATATTATCGGTAGTAGGTGATAAAGAATACGTGGATTAATGCACTTAAATATGATTTACATTTAGCAAACACCTACAGATAATGAGGTATACGTATGCACATATTTACGTACTTATATCAAACGTATTTTGATTGAAGGCAAAATCAGCAATATAAATATTAGGTGTGACCTACAAATTAATGAAATTTTTTTTACTTGTTTGTTGAAATGGAAAATGTAAATTTATATAAATATATGTATATATGTACCTGAGAAGTCATATTAAATTTAATTTTCAAATAATTAAGTTTATTTGCGGGTCCAGTTATTACGTCCCTACTTAATTAATAAAGTAGCAGTAAATTTATTCATGTACGTGTGTTCAAAATAATAATTTCCAAATAAAATTTTCCTTTACCTACTAAATATTTTAAATCGAAAAAAACGTCTATTTACTGTGCTTACTGTTTCGTTATTAATCAATTAAATGGAAATGTGTGCTCTTTTTAATTTTCAGTATTACTATTTTCAACACAACTGTATATTCCAACGTTTTACATTTTTCATCATGTGATTTGACTAGACAACAGATTTGTAAATAGCCACGTGTCTATGACACAGCTTATAACTTGCAAAGTTATCAACCTGAAAATGTGTGCTATCTTGTAGTAAAAAGCTTACTTTGTGCATATAATGAATGTGATGCAATACATACATATGTAGTTCACGGGTATCGAGTTATCAGCCTTTGTTTGCTGAATTTTGTTTCAATGTAGCATTTCAGATAAAAACCTGAAAATGTACTCATAACTCATAAATTAGAATTTTTACCGGCAAATTCATACATAAGCATATAATTAGGTATTAAAAAATAAATTTTTTTTTTTTTATAATTTTTATCTTTATTGTTATTACTTTTTTGTCAAATAAATTTAACAAATAGATAATGTAGAGGTTGTCTTCGTTTGCATATAACTAAATATTAGTAGTCATGCTTAGAAAGCACCAAACAAACTGGTAGAGTTTTATCGTAACATCTCCATGTGGGAAATACCGACAAGAGCTTAGAGTTTAGATTATCAGGTGGTTTTGGCTGTCAGTATTTTACCAAAATGTTTGAGATTTTTCTAGTCCTTATTTCAACAATGAGAGTCACGCGCACAATTCGACAATTACGTTCGCTATTTACGAATAAAATTACATATTAATGACATTCGAGTTCAAATTAGCGGAACGGTTCGGATATACAATTAACGCTAAAAGCTAAATAATAAAAGTGGAATGAACAGAATTTTGCAGCTTTTTGTTTCCAAAAACCTTAAAAATTAAAAAATAATTCTATACAGTTTTATAACCGAAAAGCGCTGTTTTTAGCTTGTAATATCTGGCTCATTGGGAAAAATATACATATGTATATCTTTTTTTTTCGGAAAAAGTTGTTTGCAGTTAGTGAGAGTGATTATACCATGTGAAAATGATTTGCGTTGTTAAAACAATTTAATGTGAATATAAATTTTCGCTTTTAATATTGATGACCAACACAAAAATCGGCGGCTCTCCACGAAATGTGAAACGCGATGAAAGGTTTTTTGTTTTTGTTTAAGTTAAATTCCGCTCACTAAAATTATAAAAATGTAATTTATCACAAGGTTCAAATTGCGCGTGTAATCACACACTGTACAAAATAACAAACCACAATACAAACATTGAGACGCAAACTGAGCATTAAATGCCAATACCGGCTCAGATTTCGACGAAAATTTTGAGCCCTGCAAAAAGTTTTAGTATACATAAACATATATGTATATACATACATATGCGTATGTATGCTTTTATATTTGTTAGTTTCTGTATTGTATTTGCTGACGCTAGCATATGCATATCTACAGTTGTGTACGAAAAATTACCAGTTGAATCACAACACTGTTATCGGTGTGAAATTCTTGTTTCTGCCAAATTTTCATAATTTTAATTGATAAGCTTATCAAGGCTATTTCCGAGAAATATTTATTGTTACTTTATGTTTTTTACGTTAATGTTACGTCAATATTGATCATATTTCGAGACAATTTCGGTTTGTGTGGGGGGTTTAGAGGTTATAACCATCTGCAAGGCAAATACATGGAGTTTTTCATAGATTTTTTTTTTAAATAACATTTTAAAAATATTTGAATTTGGCTGGTTGATGGTAAGGAACTGACCTGAATTACTCGGCAGGACTGTCACCTCGGCAGCATTCTCCAACACTATTTGCCTAGTAAAATCTCAAAACTTTCTTTGTTCTATTATATTGTTGGAGTAGTAGTTTTTGACCGGCTAAATCTACATAATCCTTCTTTTCTGAGCGTAGAACCGATATCTTTAGTCAAGTCCCGTAAAAATGTTCAGGGATTTCTTCAAAACTTTTCAGTAGCTTCAAATTCTTATTTTTGAGAACGAAACTGTACTTGTAAAACAATATGCTAAAGTTTGGGTCAATAGCATTCTGCATTTTTAAGCGTTTTTGATTAAAAATAAGGAAAAAATAAACTTGTTAAGAGGTAGATTAAAATGATATGAAAGCGGCTTTCTTTAATTACAGAATTCGGAGTATTACATAAACACACATGTTTGTGTATGAAAGTAAGATTGTATATATGCAAATAAGCTTCAACATGCCGAGGTTTGTTCAAATGCACGTTCAATTTGTGTGAAATATGGTTTATTGCACTTGAAGACAGCTGACGACTGATGTTCAGCTTTCAATGATATATGAAGCTTAAATACATTGTGCGGAAATTGTAAAGAAAACGTGAAATATATAATTATTCACCAATATTTATTTTGTCACCTTCAGATGGGATATACTTATGTCAACGATTTTTCCAGTTCTCGCCACATTTTTCATGAGCACTTTTTGGGATGGACTTCAGCCCCTTCAACGAATTTTGTTTTATTTTTTCGATCGACTGAAAAAAAAGTTCTACGGAGCGGCAATTTCAGTTTTGGAGAACAAAAAAAATCACACAGCTAAATGGATCGATGGTATTTATTGCGATTTCGGTTTAAATTCGGTCACAATCGTGGCTCGATGCGATGGTGTGTTATCATCGTGTAAAATTCATAAAATGTTCTTCCACAATTCCGGCCGTTTTCGACGGATATTCTCACGCAAACGCCTCAATACCGAATACAACTTCTTATTTACCGTCTGTTCCTCCAGAACAAATTCATGGTACACGAATATCGATAAAAACTAATCTTTGTTACTCATAAAACCATGTGTCATCGGCTCTCCATGTTTGTGGGATCGCAATTCGTACGATCAAGCATGTCCAAGCCTGTTTACGGTTCTCTTTTGAAAAAAAAATCAGCTTTATCGGGACGAGTCCGGAAAGAATGCGATTTATACCCAAAATGTCTAACAATCTCTACCAAATATCATTTTTCGTGAGTTTGAACTGTCAGTTTGCATAGCAGCTATATGCCAAAGAGGCAGCAAGAGAGAAAAAAGTGCTCATTTCAGTTCGATATCTCTAAAACTGAGGCACTAATTCGGATGTATACAGACAAACGGAACCATATACATACATATGTACTTCTGAAATAAATATATGCCTACATAGATGTGCGTATGATTAATATGTTTTTACAGTATACATACATATGCATGTACGTATGTATGTAATTAGTATGCTGTTTGCATTTAAATGTGCTCGTTAGTGTATTGCTGTTATATTTTAATTTTGATTTCATTCAATCGTTTGTATAGAATTTTAAATGAATTTGATTACATCAAAAGGGGACAGTCAATTGCACTTGACCAACTAAGCAATCAACTCGAATGAGGAATTCGATCGTATTGACTTACTGATTGATAACTTACTTGCTGTTTCAATGTAATTTTTATAGTGTACATACTATATATTATTAATACAGTTAAGAGCAAAATATTAGCACCATGATAGCTGTATAATTGACTTAGATGGCAAAAAGCTGAAAGACCAAGAAAAAAACTTAACTTTAATCGATAATCCCGATTGAGGCGATTCCGTAACTCTTCGAGGAAAAA